CTGTAGCCGAGGCAGCGTAGGTAAGCCTTTCCAGGGGGCGATGTGGGAGGCGAGGGACCAGGCATTCCACCGGGAGCACGTGAGAACCGGGAGGACTGCCTGGGCTTCGTGCTCCCCGGAACTTTGTGTGCGCTGCTATGTCTTGAGGATGCAAAGATGCGTAAGAGAAAGCCCTTCAGGATTCTCCATGGAGAGGAAACTGAGTGTGAGAATGAGCAAAGGGACACGAAGGACGGGGGACCCACTCGGGAAATGTCCTCGGCTCCTAGTGCAGCTGCCCCTGACATAAAGTATATTTAAAAAAACCATAGGCAGGAATGACAAGTAGATTTGTAAATCCCATCTACTTTCTGTGAGAAGGATAAACTTGTTATAAGGTGAAATTAGAGGCCCCCAGTTCCTTTAGAGAATTTGCTGGTGTGCACTGCATTGGAAATAAGCTGACCAGGTAGGAGACAGGTCGTTTCCAAATACAGATCACACGATGCGCATAGCAGCAACGTGCAGAAGTGCTGGAGAGCCTCAAACGCCGGGTATCACTTGGAAGCGGACTCTTAAATTCTTGACCTACCTTTCCCCATCTCAGCTAGCAGGAGACGGGAAGCAATGAGGGACAGTGCTAACTTGTATGTAATTCTGCCTCCTAAGAAAATAGCTCAGTTTATTTTGAACTGACGGACTTACTAGGTGAAAATGACCTGTCATTTTGGACTTTCTAACAGGCAAGGAAGTGTACAGTCGTCATAGTCGAGCAGATTTCAAACAAGTTGAAGCAGATTTCTTAGTGCCCACAAGGAAGATAAATACTGATCGAATTGAAGGGAGGCATTCATGAAGCCATAAATGTCTGCTACGTTTTGAGGGGAACCCCTCCCCTCACCCCAGCTGTAATAGGCATTGTTTGAGTACATACTTCATTAGAGAGGCAAAACAGCCCTTGCTGGAGCCGCCATGAATTGGAACAGAAAACTGTCTGAACTGAAGAAAGCCCTGATGGGTTGAATAGGAGGGAGCCAGAAGTGGTTGGTACTAATGCTGTTCAATACCGAGATTACAAAGCCACCCATCAAGTCCTTTCTCTTTCATACGCATGGCATACAGAGAAGGTGGCCGTCTAATTTGCAGCTGCAGCTCCAAACTGTGTTGTGCAGTTTTCCCTGTTACTCTTCAAGATAAACACATATTATGGAATTGGGAGTCAGAGACTCCCTCAAGGTGGTTCTATGATCCTGAAGAAGTGAATTTTCCTTGTATTTTTTTTTTCAGACAATAATATATTGTGAGTTATCCATTCTTATAAATAATCTAAGCATACCTTTTCCTGACAGGAACTCCAGGGCCTCTGGCAAACCTGACAGGCTGGAGAAGAGCAAGGTATAATTCCATGATTAAATGTAACAGGAAATTCAAAGACGACTTTTCATACTGTCTCGGTTTTGGTTAAACATTCCAAGGCCAAGCAATATGGATACCAAAATTACCCCCACACTCTAAGGCCAGGCACTCGACTACTTAATGTAGGACATCCTAAGACACAGCACCTTTCAACTGCCAGTATCAGCTCATCTGTTTGTAAGAGAAGGCAAAGATTCATGGGGGAGGGCAGAAATGGTCAGGAGGGAAGGTCTCTTTGGACAGAGTTGTCCATGTGCTGGATGTGCCCTTTCTACCTCCCGGTGAGGATGAGGGAAGCACTCCCCCTCATCTGAAGCCAAGAGAAGAAAACCACTCAAAAAGCTTCAGATGGCCCTAACTGGTTTGGCTCAGTGGATGGAGCATCGACCTGCAGACTGAAAGGTCCCAGGTTCGATTCCGGTCAAGGGCATGTACCTTGGTTGCGGGCACATCCCCAGTAGGAGGTGTGCAGGAGGCAGCTGATCGATGTTTCTCTCTCATCGATGTTTCTAACTCTCTATCCCTCTCCCTTCCTCTCTGTAAAAAATCAATAAAAAATATATATAAAAATAAATGCTTTATCAATAAGGAAGACTAGAAAAGATAATGGGATGGAACTTTCAATAATAGGCACTGTGTGAGGAAACGTACGTTCCATGTGAATTTCACCAAAAGGTCTGATTCTGGAAGAGATTGTCAATCAGGTGAACAAAGTGACTGTCCTAGGACTTTGCTCAGCAGCACCCCAAGTGCTTGCTTCGTGGGCTAATAATGTAGTGGCCATAGAGGTGAGGTTGGGCCCAAGAGCACAGGTGTTCCTTACCAAGGCTGTCCTGGCTCTGCCATGCTGAACACCCAGATTGATAGCAGCACCCACCCCTGGGTCCTCAATATGGTACAGGACCTAAAGGGGACCAGAGGGCAGCTCTCTGACTGATTACATGGGTCCCCCTCATTATTCTCCCTGGGGTGAATTCTTATGCTGGGTCTAGAATTGTTTTCCCTATCTGTCATGCTTCCACTTGTACCATCATCCATGGATTTATTAATAGAAATGAAACACAGATTCAGATTCTCAGATTTAAAAAAGTAATTATAGCAAAGGCATGGGCTTTTAATTATCCCATTATTATGGAACAGCTAATAATTCCACATGGTGAACATTGGAGAAAGGGAAAGTGCTGATGATTCTTTTATAATTTGTCAGAACAATTAGAAGACTGCTTAGGAATATAGAGATGTCATTTACAATATTATTATCAGGTCACAGCCTTCTTAATAAGGCAACCAGAATTGCAGATTCCTCTTGGTGGAACACTTCCTAAAGCATTTGGAGCCTTAAAAGACCTTTTGGTTTAAAAAACAAAATAAACTGACGAACAAAATAGGTCCAGAGACATGGAAGCATGGCACAGACTGATGAATCTCAGAGGGAAGGGGGAGGGGCTGAGAAGAGATTAACCAAAGAATTTATATGCATACTAGAGGCCCGATGCATGAAATTTGTGCAAGATAGGCCTTCGCAGCCATGGCGGCTGCCTTGGTTCATTGGAGAAAGGGAAAGTGCTGATGATTCTTTTATAATTTGTCAGAACAATTAGAAGACTGCTTAGGAATATAGAGATGTCATTTACAATATTATTATCAGGTCACAGCCTTCTTAATAAGGCAACCAGAATTGCAGATTCCTCTTGGTGGTTATTTTCACAGGACAGGCAACACTTCCTAAAGCATTTGGAGCCTTACAAGACCTTTTGGTTTAAAAAACAAAATAAACTGATGAACAAAATAGGTCCAGAGACATGGAAGCATGGCACAGACTGATGAACCTCAGGGGGAAGGGGTGGGGCTAATCTCAGAGGGAAGGGGGAGGGGCTGAGAAGAGATTAACCAAAGAATTTATATGCATACTAGAGGCCCAATGCATGAAAGGCGGCTGCCTCGGGCCTTCGCAGCCATGGCGGCTGCCTTGGTTCCTTCCTCGCAGCCGCTGCGGCTGCCTCAACCCATGGCTGCAGCTCCAGCTTCATCCGGAAGGTCGTTCAGATGGTGGTTCGGTCAATTTGCATATTACGCTTTTATGATTATAGACTAGGGGCCCAGTGCTCAAATTCATGCCCCTTGAAAGGAAGTGTGGGCCGCAAGGCTGTGGTAGGCACAGGAAAGGGTCTCGGCCCATCCTCTGCACCCCTGCCTGGCCCCTCCCTCCACTGCCCCGGTCTGCTGGCAGCCCTGCTCCTGCCGCCGCTCCCACACACTAATGGCGCCGGCCCCGGCTCACACCCGCTGATGGCGCAGAGTGATTGGGGCTGGCACCAGCAGCAGGTGTGAACAGGGCCAGCGCTGTCAGTGGGTGGAAGCTGTGGCTGCTGCCCCTATCGTCCCTCAGGAGCAGGAGGAGGTGGAGAAGACCTCAGGGGTGATCAGGGCCAGCAGCTGCCGCTTGCACCCGCTGATGGTGCCGAGTGATTGGGATCGGCTCTAGGCACCAGCAGCGGGTGCAAGTGGCGGCTCTGGTGCTGGCTGCGGGGTGCGAGCGGGGCTGGTGCTGGCAGTGGGTGTGAGCGGTGGCTCTGGCAGCAGGTGGTAGCAGGGCCAGTGCTGGCAGCAGGTGCGAGCGCTGGCTAGGACCATGGTACCTGGGAGCAAAGAATTTTTAGTAACCACCAGAGGCTTGCTCAGATGACAGCAACCGGTGCCCTGCTCACCTGCTCCACCATTCTGCCTGGCTGACGCTCACCATGTCCTGCACATGCCCCCTGGTGGTCAGCACACGTCATAGCGACCGGTTGTTCAGTTGTTCCGTCGTTCGGTCTATTTGCATATTAGCCTTTTATTGTATAGGATAAGCATAACCCATGGACACAGACAACAGTGTGGTCAAGGCCTGGGGGGCAGTAGGGGTGGAGAGGGTTAATAGGAGGGAAAAAG